AGAAACACAAAGACGACCATGCCCATGTGCACGCACGCAAAAGTGTGGAAAAGGAGAAGATAAACTAGCTAGCAGCATATATACTAGGTGGAAACAAGTCTTGTAATGCATGCGCGCGCCTAATAAGTTGATCTGTTAGGCGTTAAGTGTTGATGCGTGGCGGTGCACACAACTAACTTTTTTTTGATATATACACACTCGTACAAGTTTTATTCTTGCACAGATAAAGCAAATGCCAGTTGCATTGCTTCGTGAAAAACATCAACTTTGTTGCATGCATGCAGCATATGCATGCTCCTAGTGCGTGTGCTTTGTTGTGAGGGCTATCCTGCCCCGGCCCGGCCCGGCCCTGCCGGGTGGTGTTACATCCCTCTCAAGCCTTGCTAGCACTAGCACACACCACCACCAATTATTTATCGCTCCCCTCAAAAAAAAAACCCCCAATCATTTATCGCGCCATGCACGCGTATGCTGATGATATGCAGAACGAACATGGTTGAAGCTGATTGGATGGATGCTGCCACCTCGGAATGACAATATTCCCTCTCCGATCCCTCTTTTCTAACGAATCTCGGTACCAATGCAAGATCTACATATACCAATACCATGCTGTAATAATAATAACACAACTTGCATGCGGAGTATATATCATGCAAAAGGACATATCGTATCGTAAACATAGAGCTAGAGAAGCAATATCTCTATCTCTCTATATATACTAGCTCTCGTTGAAGTAGCTAGCATATAATAACTTACTATCAAGTGCCTGATTTTTGTTGTTGTTGTTCAGGCAATAGCCAATCTTACCATTGTTTAACTAAAAAAAAAATTGAAGTTGTCCTTTCAATTGTATTAGTTGGTTGTGTAATATTTGTTGCCTGAAATTGAATAATCTAAAACGCCGGGAACCTAAAATATAGCAACTCCCTATTATATTACATACTTGTATACCATTCAGTGATCTAAACCCCATCTACTTAATGTCATGCTTCATGATATATAATTACTGCCTCCATTTTCAAAGCATTTTTGTTGATGACTAGAAACGACTGACTATTGTGGCCTTAATTAATAGCAAAACTGGCTAGAATAGTTTTGTACGGTCCTGGTGTAACATGAAGATTCATATTGAATTCGACTTGTAAACCACTTCAAGCAGGGTAGGTTAACCCCGTCCTAGAAATATAAATTAAAGGCCCAATGACAGTTGAGGGTATCCAATCGATCCAAGAAAAACAAAACTACTATTTTTACCTTTTTTTATAACCCAAGCTTTAATTTCCAAGCAGTTCCCTACTTGTTGTTCTACAAGCATATCGACAATGTCTGTGGGCGTTCTAGAATGTTTGTGGGCATTCTAGATGACCTGCCAATAATAGAACAACCCTAGATGTGCCTCCCTGATGGGCTCCTTTTAGAGAAGGTGTTCTTAGGTTTTCATGGGATAAAAAAAACGGCTATGACAATTTCATAAACTTTGTGAGGCTGGTTTCGCCAAGGTTTACGGCCACGAGTTGATTCTCATGCGATCGGAGCACTTTATTAACTCTTTTGGGTGCAAGATCAAAATTGCATCAACATATGTTTTGGTCAATTTGCTACAGAAGTTGAAGAATTCATATGCTACCAATGGATGATGATGAGAAGGGTGTGCAACTGATCGCAACAAAGACATAGTATCATAAACACAAAAGAGAAGCAACATTCTATGTCTCTCTATATACTACAATACTCGTTGTAGTAGTTAGCATATATTTGTAAGTTATGTTGTACTTGTAGTTTATATTCTGTGATATAACCTCTAAATTATGTACATTACTATTGCCTCCATTTTCAAAATGTCAAATTATCTATTTAGCTTTTCCTAATAATAAACGTCAACTGTTTAAAAATAAAAAACTGAAGGAATATGCACATTTATTTGTTTGATATAGCACACAATTTATTTGCTTCATACCCTGTTAAACTAAGTACTACCATATATCAAAACTTGGAGATTATACCAGCTACTTTACATGTACGATGATTAATTATTGTCTACGGTGATTTATATATATTACCACATTTAAGAAAAGAAGCAAGCACGTGGATGGATGCATGCATACATACATGTATACTACATACATCCAGCTAGCAAAGAAAAAAAAGGATAATAATCGATCAGGTGATCATCAGAAGAACATGCTGTATCTAGCTAGTTGTCCTGGTAAAAGTACAGGGTTTTTATTCCTGGTGTGTGGCCACGCCCACCACGGCTATGTGGACAAGTGCATGTGCATTTTATTTCGCTGCCGTAACCTTTACTACACTATTTCCTCAATGTAGTAACGACATTCATGATGGTTCAATGCATCTTTAATTTAATTTCCTTCTTCATACTCCTATATTAGTTTGGTTCTCTCCAGTCATATATTGATAACTTACTTATGCATGCTTATTAGGCCGTCTAAGTTTTGCACATTAAGAGAAATGGGAAACTATATTAATCTCATGCATGGCCAACCACGCACATTGATGTGATGATCCGACTGGTGGTTAGGCACATATAGATAGTACGCAGCTTGTTGGAGCGCGGATTAATAGGTCACAATCGATCCAAATATCACACTGCATCATATATACATATGAACACATATTACCATATACGTGTCTCGTCTCTGCGTATATGTTAGCTTATATATGACACAAGCGCTGCCGTACACGCATCACTCAATGCCATGCAATTTGTTTTTTTATGAAAAAATAGATTTTGCTCACATACATAATTCTATAATTGACAGGAAAAAAAACCAAAAAATTCCAAAGCATTAGGTTGTGATGATAATTGATTCATCCACTGCCGCCTAACTTTCCCATGCCTGCCGTATGTGTGTAAACCTAAACCCGGATATGTGGTGGTGGGGCCGTGGGGGCAGCAGGATGGATGGGCGTGTGGATTTGGCGGGTGGGGTTAGCCAGGCCCAGGCCCGCTCACGTTGCGCGCCACCATCCTCTCGCTACGCCGCGGGGCCCAGCGCACAGCTGTTATAGTGTGGCCTTGTCTGGTCTCTCTCTCTCTCTCATCGTCCATCCAATCCAAGCAAAGCAGCAACTAGTAGCTCAACCGTTCTTCTCTCTCCGTGCTGCTACCTGTTGCCTCAATCGATCTACCACGTACGACTACTGTACATTCTTGCCTTGTGAATCTACAGTGAATAATGTATAGTACATACATGCATATAATATATACTAGTAGGTAGATATATAAATATATAGAGAGAGAGGGGGGAATGAAACATGCATTGCGCTGTTAGATTGGCCGATAAATCATGACTGAAAGTACTGTTGATCGATTTATTGTGAGAGAAAAATATTATTCGTTGACGAAAAAAATATGGTATATAAGTCAAAAGAACAAGACGCATATTCTGTAAAAACATTTTTTTGTCAGAGCTGCAATTTGGACCTACTAGCTGTCTAGCTATGGTGGATGCGATCGTCCCTGGAGCTGCATCAGGGCTGGCAGCGACAAACCACCTGTGGACAGTCTGCCTCCTCCTTTGTTTTCTCCTGCTCCCTCCCTCCTACTAGCCTTTTCCAGTAGCAGGGACAAACATTTTCACTGAATTATATAATATTGGCAATATCAGAGAACACAATTTTTTTTTGCTCGAAAAAGGTATTTGCTCTCCCGTTATACACCGTTGATATACGACCATTGTCACAGTATGTACTGTAGCCAAATAATCATAGCAGGCAAAATAGTCTGTAGCATAGCGGTTACAAATGCCTCGGTAACACCTATTTAACGGCGTTGTTGTTGACTTTGTCAAATTTGAGGATTTGCTAGCCTAGACTTTGAAGATGCTCATATGCGTACATAAGAATGAGTGTGCGTACGTTATAAGTGTCTGCTTTGTACTATGTAATTTGAAAAAAAAAAATCCTAGCAGGGATCGGATCGGATCGGATTTGATGAGGTAGGAAGCTACGGCGGTGGGTGATTATAATTTCTTCCACTGATTACCAACCAGCTGTACGTGTAGATCTCCGTACGTGTTTAGTTTTACAGCTGATGATGATGTATACTAGCTACTAGTACTATACAGTATCTATCTAAAGGCGTACGCACATACATATATGGTGTCCTAGCTGCTACTGGTAGTTGTTAGGCTGTAACCCGCCTGACAGCGCAGCAATCTGGTGCGTTCCGTGGATGCGTACGTCTGTCCATCACCGCGCGCCGCCCTTCCCTCCCTTTCTCACATGTTCCCGGTTCGGCTGGCCAAATAAACGGTTGACGTTGATTATCAATTTATTATAAAAAAAACTATTATTTTATTAAAACGATACAGCTCATAAGTTGAAGCGAACCCGAGCGTAAGCGCTTCAGTTCACAGTTGACACACACCGCCGATGGATACCCATGCTCACCGGTCTTCCTCTTCTCACCGCCCTATTCTAGCTATTTATTAGTGCTGCTAGCCTAGACCTACTGCTACCACTACAGTACCAGTACATACTGACTGCTGCCGCTGCCCTCTCGCTCCTTTCCTTTCTGCCCGTGGTCGTCATCGATCGTGGGCATCTCCTTCTCTTCTCCCTGTGCCAGCCTTGTACAACTGCCACTCTCCCAATCCTCCCACCCTTCTTCTTCATCTATGATCTATCCCGACACTCCTCCACCGCCCTTTTCTTTCCCCTTTTCCTCACACCCCTCTTTCCAGTTTGTGCTGTCGTCTGCTGTGCTGTGCTCGCCGGCCGGCTGGCTGGCCGGCCTCATCTCTCCAACTCCCCCTTCCTCACCTCACCACGCCTCCACTAGCGCTAGTCGCCTCCATGCGCGCTGCTTGCTCCACTACTCCCGCCCATCTTCTCCGATCTGCCTCGATAATTCTGCCGTAGCAGCAGCCTAGCCTGCTATAGCTAGCTAGCGCCGGGGAAAAGATCCAGCCAGCGCCGGCCGGGCGCCGGGAAGGCGCAAGATTCCACCTTTGATTCCACGCGCCACGCAGGCCGGCATGCAGCAGCCGGCCATGCCGCCGCCATTCTCGCCTGCCGCGGGGACGGCCGCCGCGGCGGGCCAGCAAGCCACGCCCATCAGCAGCCGCCCGCCGCCGGAGCCACAGCAGCAGCAAGTCGACGAGGTCGGCGGCTCGGCTTCCGCCGGCAGCAGCTTCGTCGTTGACCACGACGGCGAGCGCAACGGGCCGTCCGGCGGCAACCGGTGGCCGCGGCAGGAGACGCTGGCGCTGCTCAAGATCCGCTCCGAGATGGACGCCGCGTTCCGGGAGGCCGCCCTCAAGGGACCCCTCTGGGAGCAAGTCGCCAGGTGCGTCACGCGTGTGCAGTTTGCCTAAGCCTAAGCCAGCCGCGAGAATTCTCCATGGCCTGACGCGAGTCACGCGACGCTGCATGAAATCTCGCTGTCGGATTCGTTCGTTCCAGCTCAAATTCGGTCAGTTTCGATGTGATGGAAGTAGCCTGCAGCAGCTGGTCACCTCCTCTCTTCCCCTTCGATTGTGTGGCGCAGATCATGGCATCGTCGTCGCCGCCCACGGCCACGACGAACACAGTGAATTTCCCAATTAAAAACCATACACACATCGCTCTCCTCCACTTTTCCACTCATATTCTTCTTTTTTTCTCAAATTTTATTTGTGTGTCGTCACCTCATCGTCGTCTATCCCATAGTAGAGATACATGTAGTACTCCTAGTAGATAGATAAAGTAATATACTACTACTAACTCACTTCAGATCTGATGCCTGCAGATGGCATCAATCCCAATTCTCAAAATTTAATTTCTGCATTTTATTCCAAATTGAGCAGTATATTTTTAATAAAGAAAGATCTATTCTCTCTCTCTCTCTCTCCCTATGGCAATTAATAACCAAATGGAAATTATATTATACAAACTACTACATGTGTAGATGAGGAAAAGTATAGCTGTAGGTATAGGTAGTACAAGTAGATGAGTAGATGCATATGGAGATGTCTCCCTCCTTTTTCTTGGAGAGCTACATGTGCAAGCATGGCGATGGATGCGATCGTGATGGGTGGCAGTGGTGGTGGGCGCATGGCATGGGGACGACACGAGACGAGGTTAATTGTGGTGGCTGTGCTGTGTATGTTTGCAGGAAGCTGGAGGCTATGGGCTACAAGCGCAGCGCCAAGAAGTGCCGCGAGAAGTTCGAGAACGTCGACAAGTACTACAAGCGCACCAAAGACGGCCGCGCCGGCCGCGGCGACGGCAAGGCCTACCGCTTCTTCTCCGAGCTCGAGGCCCTCCACGGCGCCTCCTCGCCGGCGGCGCCGCACCCGCCGGTGGCGGTGTCTCTCGCGCCGACGCCTGTGGCCATGGCGCCACCACCACCGGCCACGTCCCATCCCGGCATGGCGCCGGCCGCCTTGCATGCCGAGCCACCGCCACCGACTCCGCCGGCGCCTCGTGTCGTTGCCGCCGTGCCGCAGCCGGCTCCGACGACGGGGACTGGCAGTGCCACTGCTACTACCGCGCATCCTGCAGGCGCCGCCAGCGACGCGGCGGCGGCATGCATGATGACGCCTGGTGACGTCAGCTTCTCCTCGGGCTCGGACGGGGAGGACACGGAGGAAACCGGCGGCGGAGGCGACGGCGGGAAGCGGAAGCGGGACGACGGGGACGGTGACGGCAGCAAGATGATGCGGTTCTTCGAGGGGATGATGCGGCAGGTGATGGAGCGGCAGGAGGAGATGCAGCGGCGATTCATCGAGGCCATCGAGCGGCGGGAGCAGGACCGGATGATCCGCGAGGAGGCGTGGCGGCGGCAGGAGGTGGCGCGCCTCGCCCGCGAGCAGGACGCGCTCGCCCAGGAACGCGCCATGGCCGCGTCACGCGACGCCGCCGTCGTCTCCTTCATACAGCGGGTCACCGGGCAGACCATCCCGATGCCCATGCCCTCGTCCGTCGCGCCTCCGCCGGCCTTCATCACCGCGCTGACGCATAAGCCGCCGCCCTTGCAGCCCACGCCGGTGGCTTCCGCTGCACCGGCGCCAGCCCCGGCGCAGCCACCTCCGCCTCCAGCTCATCAGCTGTCACCCACCACACCGAAACCGCACACAACAATGCCGATGACGGCACAGCTACAGCCACATCAGGCGCCGTCGCCGGCGACGCATCCACAGGGCAATAAGGAGATCGTGGTCCGTGCGCCGCCACCGGCGGAGTCGCAGGACACGGCGTGGTCCGGTGGCGGCGCCCCGTCGCCGTCGAGGTGGCCCAAGGCGGAGGTGCACGCGCTGATACAGCTGCGCACGGAGCTGGAGACGCGGTACCAGGACTCCGGGCCCAAGGGCCCGCTGTGGGAGGATATCTCGTCGGGGATGCGGCGGCTCGGGTACAACCGGAGCGCCAAGCGCTGCAAGGAGAAGTGGGAGAACATCAACAAGTACTTCAAGAAGGTGAAGGAGAGCAACAAGAAGAGGCCCGAGGACTCCAAGACCTGCCCCTACTACCACCAGCTCGACGCGCTCTACCGCAGCAAGGCGCTCGCGTCGTTGTCGTCCGGCGCAGCTCCGGCGGCGGCGCCGCCGCGCCCGGATCAGCAGGCTGCTGCGGCGCCCGTCACCGTGCTAACCGCGGTGCCGCTGTCCCAGACGGCGCCTCACGGCAACGGCAACGGGTGCGCGAGCAGGGGCAGCTCGGACAATGGCGGCGGCAGCTCCGGGGGCATGCAGAAGCAGCAGGCGAGCAACGGCGGTGGTGTTGACGCCAGGTTCTCCGCCGTCGATGGCGCCGGTGGCAATGGCGTTGTTGCGACGGACAAGGTAATCCATCGATCGATCAAGTAGCATGCATGCATGGTGTCGTCATATCAAGTAGTGTGCACACTTTTGGCGATCCGATCCGATCGATCCGGTTGCTGATGATCATAGCATGCATGCCGTACTGCTTGTTACAGCGAGAAGAAGGCATCGTCATGACGAAGGAGACGACGGCGGCGGAGGAGACGAGGCCGCAGCCGGTGTCGATGAACGACAGCTACGTGAACGACGACGCCGTGGACAGCGACAGCAGCATGGACGACGACGATGAAAAGGATGACTTTGACGACGAGGAGGAGGAGGGCGACGTTCGCGGCGGCGGCAACAGCAAAACGCAGTACGAGATCCAGTTCCAGCGGCAGCAGCATCAGCAGCAGAACAACCAGAGCGGCGGCGCCGGCGCCGGCCCGGCAGCGACAGCAAGTGGGTCTTTCTTGACCATGGTTCATCACTAGCTGCATGCATGCATACATGCCAAAGCGTACAAACTTGCTGTGTACGTGTCCTTGCACAGGTAAAAAAAAAAGTGGACACCGTGCACGAACACCGAACAGCACCAAAACCATGCATTTTACTCTCTTCGATCCACGGAGCGAGCTTGCTCCTGCATGCATGCACAGCAAGCTCTTTCACTCACTTGTTCATCGTTTCATCTCTGGACCCAATCCAACCCTGCACATACACATGCATGCATGCATAGACACGTGAGATCCACCGTACATATACGTATAGATGGTGGTGGTATTGGAGGAGGAAGAAGCTGATGGGGTGTACACTGCTGTGGGGTACATATATACCGTGTGTTACTGCTATTACACTACAGTTGTATGCGGTACAACAAAAGAAGAGACATCTTGAGCTGATGGAATGGAAAACATGTGCTCATGCGGGAATTTTTTTTTTTTGGGAGGGTATACGTACTTTTGGGTCTTTCTTTTCTTTTCCCTTTTAAGAAGAATTGTTACTGAACTGTCCATTATGTAATTTATTATAAATTCGTTCTTACATATACTGTGGTTAATATTAATGACTGCTAAATTATACTACTCTGTACTACATTTGGTAATTGTAAAATCCTTGAGGTTCTCTTTGTAACAACTATTAACAACTACTCTACTGGTTTACCTGAGCAGTTAGAGCATTTGCCTGTCACTTTTTTTAAGCTCTCAACTTTAGATCAGGATGCATGCATAGCTGGTCGATCAATCAGTACGCGGTTGCATTAAAATACTTTACTGAGTTGTGGTTATTCTCTTGGGATCCAAAGCCCAAGTTTAGTTTATTATTGTCAATTGCAACTGCCACCTTTCCCCTTTAGATCCCATAGGGCTAAGTTCCAACTCTTGATTAAAAATACTATAAACCATTGGTACATAACCTGACATATGTGTGTGTCGACGTCAGTTTACATACAAAAACGTAAAGGTAGAGAAGCTACAACACGAACATGCCGGACTGGCATGTGTAGGTGCTGAGATCCTGACGGATGAAATGGTGGCTGAAGTTTTACCAACTAGTGGACTAGCCACTTCTGCAAATGTACTTGCACCTTCTGGTTCCAAACCCTGTTTATTTTTTCATGGAAAATTTAAAACTTTCTTACTACTTTCTCCATGCTAAATTCTAAGTTGTTTTGTTTTTTAGTAGCATAATTTTTGCTAAGCACCAGATATACATTATATAAAATTATAGTAAAAACTATTTCTAGAAAAGCCAAAATGACTTACAATTTAGAATTGCAACTAATTTTTTATATAAATATGCTTATGCTACTCCCATATCATATTCTCATGTTTCTTGTCATATGTATACAAATATAATACAAAAAACCTTGTGCTTGATGCACATTAATTTGATGCCAGTTTAGTAAAAAAAAAACTTACTCCTGTAGCGCCCCATTGAACGTAGGCTTTGAGTATTGTAACTTAATAAGACTGACTATCATAAATAGAGATATAAAACTATTTTGATTTTGTGATCATAATTATTTGAATACGAGATGAAACAAATGCATCCAAATAAATTGATGGATTTGAGCACAACCGGTTAAAGCAACCCACACAGTTTCATACTCCGTATATACAATGTCCATCTCTGAATAAATTAATTCTTAGAGTTATCTTAAATTAATTTTTTATGTCTGACCAAATTTATAGAAAAAGTACTAATATTTTGCGACACCAAATGAGTATTATGAAAAAATAGTTTCTGGGGTATTTAAAGATATCAATTTGATGTCATAAATCTTAGCTATCTTTTCTATAAATTTACTCGAACTTAAAAAGTTTGACTTAAGATAATTCGATGAATGATTTAAATAGGGACGATTAGCAGGGAGTATATATATATTATAACTAATATTATATCCGTGAAAATTAAATAGTACGCCGTGACGTGCATGTGAGCGAAGTAGGAATGCTGGGGGACCTCGTTGTTTGTGCCAGATTTGGCAGCCTTACAAAATTACTCAGAGTCAGTGCTGGATCCGTCCGTAGAAGCGGCTGCGGTTGCAGTTGCTAGTTGCAGGCCAAGTGAGGTGAGGTGAGGTCACCGCCACTGCTGTGTGCTGAGCCATGTTCTTTTATACGTAGATGTGGGATCGGTGCCTGCTAGTGAGCTGGCCAACCAGGCACGCCTGGGAATCGTGTTTTGCAGTTACTCCGTATATTTACCTGTCACTGGAAAAAATGCTGCTGCTTTTAAGTGTCTAACCTTTTTTCTATGGAAGGGAGTAGCTAGTCCCGATAATAACTTTTCATTAGCTAGATAGTTTATTTGAGGTATTAGTTGGACTAGCTGTGGTGTTTGAATCTATTGGATCTAATTTTAACAGCTACTCCTATTAGTTTATGGGATCCGAACAAAGGTCTTAGTATACCAGCGGGACAAGGTGTGGCACTGTGTCACGCCCCGTTGCCGCCGGCCAGCGTCGTCGACGTGAGGAGCTTCAGAGAGCACGTGAGAGACGAGGAACGGGAAGAGGAACCTTCTTCTTTCACCGAGTTCAATTTCAGAAATGCGATCGTCCTCAATCCGATACAACGCACGCTTAAAACACCCCCTTGGCCTATGGCCCACATGTCATACTATATCTATTATATAATTGCTCGAATACGTCTTCTGACTTCCTTAGCGTACTTCTCTTGGTTTACCTCTCCTTTAGGTCGTAGGTGTACCAGGTCTGACATCTCCTGCCACCGAAGTCGATGCTTGACCCCAAACAGGTGCTTGCGGGAACCGCTTACGAATGACATTGTAGTCTTCCCAGGTTGGTGAAGTTGGTGGCAGACCTGTCCACTGAATGAGCACCTGTGGAATAGCAGCATTACCACGCTTGACCAGTCGGCGCTCAAGCACCTTCTCAGGCATTGCCGCCGTGGCCTCAATATCAGTGGTGAATGGAAGCTCAGAAAAAACTGGTGTATAATCTGCAACAAAAGGTTTAAGCTGTGAAACATGAAACACATCATGGATCTTACTGTCTTCTGGTAGCTTCAGGCGATATGCCACCCGCCCAATGCGTTCAGTAACGAGATAGGGCCCAAATACTTGTATGGCAGTTTAGGAAATGGTCGATTCGCCACGAAACTTTGTGTGTACGGTTGCAGCTTCAACAGAACTTGGTCACCCACTTGGAACTCAATGTCAGAACGATGTTTATCAGCCATCACTTTGATTCTGTTCTGTGCCTTGGCCAAATTCTCCTTGAGGGCCTACAAATGCAGTTCTCTGTTCTCTACTAGTTCAGCTACAGTGGCTGGCGTTGTTTGTTGTATAGTAGGAGCAGCACCAACCTTTGGATCATAGCCATATAGAGCCTTGAATGGTGAACACCCTAGAGAACTATGATAAGTAGAATTATACCACAGTTGTGCCAAAGAGAGCCAAGAGTGCCAGGTTTTGGGTGAATCTTGGATAGCACACCGCAGATACAGTTCAAGACATTGATTTACTCTCTCAGTCTGTCCATCACTCTGTGGATGGTAGGCAGTGCTAAGCTGTAGGTTCACTATGTAAAGCTTGAAGAGTTCCTTCCAAAAGGCACTAACAAATATTATGTCTCGATCAGAGACAATGGAGTTTGGGAGACCATGAAGCTTGACAATGTTATCCATGAAAAGCTGAGCTATGGTAGATGTTGTGTATGGATGTTTAACTGCCACAAAATGAGCAAATTTGGTAAGTCTGTCCACTACTACCATGATCACATTGTAGCCATTGGATTTAGGCAGGCCTTCTATGAAATCCATAGATATGTCCATCCACACCTCCTCAGGAATTGGTAGAGGCTGTAGTAGTCCAGGTGGGGAGTGATTAGTATGCTTGGCTTGTTGGCAGACAAAGCACTGCTTAACAAAATCTTCCACAACCATCTTCATTCCTTTCCATGCAAAGTGAGTCTTGAGTCTCTGGTATGTTGCTTTAGTACCTGAGTGACCCCCAATAGCGCTGGAATGGAAAGCTGCTAATAATCTTTGTCTATAGGGCTGAGTTTTGGGCAATCCATAGTTTGTTCTTGTACCTAATGATACCATTGTCCAAGATGTAACCTGCCATATCAGGGCTTTGGATAGCCAGTTGGGTCAACAGCTTCTGGGCCCTAGGATCAATTGTATAAGAATGAAGTACTTCCTACAACCAATCATGCCCAACCATGGAAACAACTTGTAAGGTGTGGAGGTGAGCCACCCTGGATAGCGCATCTGCTGCCGGTTGTCTTTTCCTTTCTTATAAACAATTTTGAACTGCAGCCCCATCAATCTGGTCATTGCCTTCCTTTGCATATCAGAATACAGGTTCTGTTCCTGGAGATAAGCTAAGGATTTGTGGTCTGTCAAAATAATAAATTCTTGTCTTTGTAGATAGTGTCTCCACCTTTCCACTACCATAATCAATGCCAAGAACTCTTTCTCATAAATAGATAGGTGTTTGTGTTTTTCACCCAAGGCTTTGCTAAGAAAAGCAATTGGTTGGCCTTTTTGCATCAAGATTGCCCCAATGCCATCTACACAAGCATCTGTTTCCACAGTGAATGGCTCTTGGAAATTGGGTAGGGTGAGGACTGGGGTGTGGGACATAGCAATCTTGATTTCATCAAATGTTGTCTGGGCTTTTGGATTCCACTGGAACTGTTTGTGCCTTAACAGATTGGTTAGTGATTTTGCAATGATGCCATAACCCTTCACAAACTTCCTATAATACCCTGTTAACCCCAGAAAGGCTCTCAGCTCTGTAAATGTTGTGGGTGTTGGCTAGTGAACCATAGCTGCTGTCTTCTGGGGATCAGTGGCCACCCCATTAGCTAGTATAATGTGCCCCAAGTACTCCAACTGGCTTTGAGCAAAGGAACATTTGGACTGCTTCAAATAAAGTTGATTTGGCAACAGTGTCTGGAGAACCAGTTATAAATATTCCCGATGTTCTAATGATTTGCTATAGATGAGAATATCATCTA